TCTCCATGTGTCTGTGTCTCTCTGCGTCTTCCTGCGAATGCGTCTCTGCCTTCTCCGTGTCCATGTCTGTGTCCATGTCTTGGTCTATACCCACCTCTCTCTCTCTCTCTCTGTCTTTTTTTTCGCCTCTCTCGCGCGGTCAAGCGGTGATGGTTCCAACGAGATCATGCTCAATCATGTGCCAAAGGCAATCGTTCAAGGGTTCAAGCACTGGTGGCATGCTTGCAGCGGGTTCAAGCACTGGGTTGCGACAACCGGCAGAACAAGCCTGTAAACAACCTATCGGACCAAAGGCAGGGAGCTGGCACCCACCAGAGGCCAGTAAGCTTGTCAGCAGCTGGAGGTTCCTGCCTAAGAAAGCTGGAGCCACCTGTCAGGGGCCCCCAAACAAAAAATCTGCAAGGGTGAAGGGCTGAATAACTTTTGTTCATAGGAAAGGAATGGATATTTTTGAGGCTGCCCTTTTTTAAGCTGGTTCAAAGAGCCGAAATCCATTCTGGGTCCCGGTCCCCGTATTTAGACATAATTCTACAAGAAGATCAAGCAAAATTAACTAGGGTAACTTCATAAATAAGCCAATTAAGATCAACAAATCGCCAAGCTCAAATACTTTTTTCGTGGCCTCTCCACAAAAAGTAACAAAACTGGTTGTTTGCCGTACTAAGACTAAAGCCCATGGCCACAGCAAGTGAGAATAAGGCCTCAACACTTGCCGTCCCCGCGACACGGAAGCTTCGCTTGCCTGGTAGACCACGTGCGCAGCTGCGTAGAGCTCTGGCCTTAGGGACAACTCCGCGTAGGTGCCGCAGTGCCGAGCGCAAAAAGAATAACGTTCAAACCAACGTATTCCTAGAAACTCCGTTGGCAGACATTTTTGCCCATTTCCGCAAAGGCGGAAATTTCGCCTTTGTTTTGGAAAAACGCGGGGGATGGGGAAAAAACGTCCGAGCCAAGGAAAAGCGCCGTCGCCGCAACGCTGCAGATAGATGCCCACGGAGCGTCCGGCATATTGTGAAGGTCGCTTCGCGTCGGCTTGCGCGGCCACTGGAAAAATACGGTAGCTTTCACGACCCTGTCGCGAGTACATAGATGATAAACCCCTTTCGCAAAAACACATTTCGCGGCCTGCGGTACAAACAGCATTTTGAAAAGAAAAACACATCTCCTCACGCATGCCACTTTCAAATGCAGGGGTTTCAGAACATCGCTGAAATTAAGTTTACACTAAAAACTGAAAGTGAACGCATCAAACATCTCCTTCAGTGCACACCAGTCTGAGAGGCGCGGCTCATCCTCAGTGTTCCCTGTGGCCTGTATTCATTTCAGTCTGTGTGAATATTGTACTGAGCTGGGCTGGTGTTTGACCCCCTGCACAGCGTAGCAATTACCATGTGTCCAGTGACCCTGCCTGAGCTTTGCCACATTCCACCATATTCTGTGGTACAGTTGCGAGAAATGCGCTGGTGATCTGCTTTCACCTGGATTGGGTTGGAAGGTCCACGCGTCAGGGTTTAGCACGCCATAGTCTGTGAATTCCGAAGGTACCTCTAAAACATGGTTATTGAGCTTGGCCTTTTGAACCCAGCGAACAAATTCAAAAAACAACTTCAGCAAATGGACGCACTTGGGCCAAATTCCGCCACCCTGGGCCCCAAAACATGGACCAAGGCTTCGCAACAGTGGCAAGTGCAAATGGATATGTGTCAAAGAAGGGGTCCCAAAACATTGCGATGTTTGGTTTCCTTTGCAACCAACCTGAGAAGGGGTCCTAACTCCACAAGGCACACCCAGATCTATACAGACACAATGAGTGTGCTTGCGAAAGCTACTCGTGGAAGACTGTTGGGATTTGTTGCTTTGCTTCGCAAAATAGGGCGCCCCAAACTCCTCACTTTACGGCTGCAGGTCTTTGTTCGTTTCCGAGAATCTTCGCACTTCTTCTTACTGCCTGGCAACTGCAACGTGGAAAACACGGTGCAACGGCCAAACGGCCAGCAACCCACTAAAAAGCCCGCAAAAGATGCGGGCAATGTTACAGGCAAAGACCCACAACGTACAAGCCAACACACAGAGACACACACACACCAAACCACGGAAAAAACAAGAAACCCAACTAGGTCCTCCAGTAGAGAGGTTGGAATAAGGGTACTTCCTTTTTTCTGGTTTGTCTATTTTGGTAGGGGAACCCTCCCAACCAAAAAAGAAAGTTGGTCAAAGGGCACGATGTTGGGGGACCTAGCCAAACTTCAAGCCAAGCCTAGCTGGGCTTTCCGGCGGAATCTTTCTTGCAGCGTCCCAGCAACGCCCGGCCTCTGCAAGGCCTCGCGAGGAGGCGGATTCGCAGCTCTCGCAAAGACATGCGGCTTAGTCCGGTCTGATCCCTTCAGTCCAAAGGTTTCATGGGGAAGTCATGAGGCGCCCTTTGCATGATGTTCTTTTGCCGACTTCCCCCTTTTTGCGGCTTTACTAATTCGTGCGGATGCATGACGCAAAGATGTGATTCATCCGCGCGTCGACCAATCCGAAACAAGAGAACCTTCGTGGGCGGTCGGTCGCACACCAAGTCCCGTTGTTGACATGAACCATGACCTCAAACACCTGAAACACCTGAAACACCTGAAACACCTGAAACACCTGAAACACCTGAAACACCTGAAACACCTGAAACACCTGAAACACCTGAAACACCTGAAACACCTGAAACAGAACTGGACCAAGCGCAAACCTGCTTGAAAGGCTCACGCTTTGCTGGTTGAAAGAGAAAATCCAGCACCAAAGGCTGCCTCTGAGAGACGAAAAGTGTCCAAACCACTCGCCCGTCAGGTTGCATGATGGGCCTCCCCAGCCCTCGCCCCGATTGCGCGGCGCCTCTCCAGGCGTCTGCCCAGGAGCCCTGAATTGGGGTGGGGGTAGGGTGGGGTTGGGGGTGGGTGGGGGTGGGGGGCGGCGGGGGGGTTTTGGGATTGCCTCCCGTATTAAGCGCCAATTTCAGTTTCGGCTGTGCCTCGGCATGGGTGTTGGGAGAGAGACACTGGGTGTCTGGTATCCCAAACCGGCTAGCCGCCCTTGCGTGAATGGCTTTGTCATGAAATTGACGGAAACCATTTTGCGACCTGAACGATAACCAATTCGTCATGAGACTCGCATCTACCATGAGTTTGCATTCGCATCCCTGCCGTGCCTTTGCGGTTCCATACATCCAAGTTCCCTCTCTACAGTCGTGGTGTCGTTACGTTCGGGACAGCGCTTGATTGTGACGCAAGTCTAAATAGTTCAACACGGAGAACCTTAAAACTCAAGGGAACTGACCACATCCTTGAGGTCCTCCTGGGTTTGTCTTTAAGGGGAATCCAGCCGAAACAAAAAATTGCTAGATCGTTGCTTGATCCTCCCCAAACCCATGCTTAACATGCATGGTTCTACTGTGGTTGGCGCGCCTGCTTGATGTCTAGCTCAAACCAACGGTAACCACTCACTCCACACCTCTTTGTGAGGAGGCTGTTCTCAAGGCTCAGTTGCTTTCTGCTCTGCTAAAAGTTTAACGTTTCGTTTGATGGAAACCCCATTTGTTGGCAACAGGCTAAAGTCCTAACATCCCTTGGCAAAAGGCACCAAAGCTATGGCCAGTGGACCGCCCCTCAACGCTGCCGGCGCCACGCTGGCGTTCTTCGACAGGCCCTCGCAGCGGCACCTCGTTGCACGCGGCCGAGGTGGGAAATGAAGCGGGGGGGAAGGAGGGGGAGGGGGCAGGGCCGCGTTTGTCGCATGTCGGAGTTCACAAAAGCTGACGGCTTCTTTCATGTCACAAGCCTCTGGCTCTCGTTTCGAATGCCTCCCTACAGAAGCTCAGGGAGCTGGCCCAAGCCGTTGCTTCCCAAAGTCACGGAAGTGGCCAAGCAGTGGCTGGTGCCCTTGGACCTCCGTTTGCTGTTGCGTCCCCAGGAAAAAACAAAAACCATATGTCCAGTCGTGAAATCGATTCCAGCTTTAAAACCAAGATGGGAAATCGCAATGTGTCATTTCAGCAGTGGAACTTGATGAGTTTGCACCAGACAACATCCCATCCGAATATCTGGCACTCCGAGGCAAGGGCACCGTCCGCGGCCCCTCCAGTAGCATAGCCGCAAGACATGGGCGATCTCATGGCGAGGACATGGGCAAAGCGGACTGCACAAGGTGGGGCCTTGAGTTGGGCTTCTAGGTCCTCCAGTAGAGAGGTTAGAATAAGGGTACCAACTTTTTTTCTGTAGTCTATTTTACTAGGGGAACCCTCCACCAAAAAAGTTGGTCAAAGGGTACTACTGGGGGACCTAGGCTGATTCTCAACCCACACACCGTCCCCGAGCTCTTGAGGGAAATAGCTGGAGATCGTCACTAGCAACTCAATTGACCCCCTCTGCTCCAGTTAACCGTCAATATTGACCATGACTGCAAATGGATGCCCTTTTGGTGCAGTTGATTCTCTAAAGTAAGTAGGGTGCCTGGGAAAACCAAACACTCTTCGCAGTTACCAGGGTTGCGCTGCTGGATGGTGATCTGGTGATCCATTTCTGAGCAAGGGATTCGCTGATCACAGAAAATGGAATTCAAGTTCTCCGAGCACTTGTCATATACTCTCGCGAAAAAGAGAGAGGCGTGCTTGAGGTTGCCATAGCTGCGCGTCAGATGGCTTCGCCGGAGGCTGCCAGGGCTGCTGAGGTCACTGGCCAAACGGTTTGGCCCTTGACATAAAGCTGAGGTCTTCCAATTCGACACGTGAGATGCGCTCAAATAGCCGCCGCATGCTTCCTGACGCACACAGCCACATGCAGTCAAACCCAATGACTTGGGTCTCCAGGAACCCCCATGGGGTTGCATTTCCACACCCGAAAACGGGTCGTCGCAACAACAACTCATATCCGGACCTGCTTTTTGCAGCCTTTGCGTCGGTGCTGTACATGGGTGCGAGATCGCATCTGCTGAATGACGCGGCCGAGCTTTCGGCGCGGTGTGTGCATCGCTCACATCGCCAGGCGCGCAATCTGCCTGGCGGATTGCGTTGATCCACCCATCACCCACATGTGGCCGTCCGCAACAGCAAACAGATTTGATCGCGTCGACCGGATTGATATGGGTCTCTAGGCGAACAGCAAACCTCGAAACCAGAGCACCCAGCGGCAAAACAAGAGGCAGGCGCGCCTTGCCAGAGCTTCAAGGTTCCTTACCTGTTCCCTTTGCCTCGCCCAAGAGTCGAAGTCCAAAATGGAATTGAGTAAACCAAGGGAACGCCAACAAACATCGTGGGTCCCAAAACTCCACCGGCCTTCGATGTTGAAGAAAACCACAGAGAGAAGAAAACGAAGATAGGAAGAAGGGGGAATCCTTTCACTAGGAGGAAAAGAGAGAAGTCCACCCAACAAACGGGAGACACAAAATAGGGAATCAAAATGAATCAAGCACGGAAAAATGAGGAATGCCCTACCCACAAAAAAACAAGAGTAAAACTTTGGGAGACGCCTCCACCAGAGGCGCTCCCCCCCAAAAAACAGACACAAAAGCCCATCGCATGGATTCGCCTGCCGGTCTGCATGTCCAGGCGGTACTCAAGTCCGGCCTCAAAGGCGATGTTTAGCATGTTCAGGTAGTGTTCGGAGGGAGGTAATGTACCACTTGTATAAGGGGTATGTAACACCTTAGCTTAAACAGGGTGGTAAGGCTTGTTCCTCGGTACCTCCATACACGCATTCGACAAAAAGGGCTTCCAGTTATCATAGGTAGCCAGGGTTAGATGCTTCATGGTTTGCCCTGGTTACCTGCAACGGCAACTGGAAGCACTGGGCCAGGACAAAAATGGGACTTGAAAAATAAAGACCCGAGAAATGAACTTAAAGGCGCTAGTACAGTACTTAGGTTGCAGGGTACATTGAAACCAAACCTAGCCATGATTAAACTATAATCTTGCACCTTGAATTGGGCCAGCCAGCTGATTCAAAGGGCCACCCCTGTTTTGGCTTGAGCCCTCGAGGCAAACAAATGGTGCCATGGTCAAACACCTTGGGAATACTGTGCCCGAACTGCTCAACCTTGTGGCTTCATAGGCTGTGCTTCCCGGATTCCCCAAAGTTTTGTTTCCCCCCAACTCACCCACCAGGGGCTTAGGGGCTTAGAAAAACCTGGGCCCGAAACGGCCGCCCGAAAAACGGGCTTCTCATCATATCGAATTTTGATTGTTTAAATATCATAAACCTCCCCCGTGCTTTGTTGTGCCCACCTTCATGGGTCCTTAACCCAATTCGGGCACCAAACAAGGGTGAGTACCCCGCAAATGACCATGGAACCTGAAACAAAAAAACAAACAACGGGTCCCCAAAGAGGAGAGTCCCGGGAAAAAAAAAGAAGAAACAAACAAAAACGCATGCTAGTAGCGGTTCTTTGGGTTCCACGTGCACCAGGCTTCCCGGCGGGGCAAATGGCGTTCTTTGGCACCTCCTGCCACTCTGCGGTGGCCTACGCCGAAGGGCAAAAGGAAAACCGAAGGACACCTTGGCATCTGCCTTACTCATGTTGAGTCAGAGACAAGGGATCCTTAGGTCCATGGTGTTCCCCATTCAACCCCTTGCCCATGTTTTGTTCCCCAACAAGCTTTGGGTCGATGGACCCCAGACAAAAACGGCCGGGGTGGCACCCTGCAGGGAGCTATGGTGTTCAATGCCCCCCAAAGCTCGGGAGCCCGAATCACCCGGTCCCCTAAGAAGATCAAAACCTGAAATCAAGTGGCCTACCCAAAGCTATGGGAAACAATGCAAAGGGAGGCTGATCCTATGGGATTGAGGCCGATGTCTCTGACTGGGACTTTGCCTATCCCGGATGATCAATGAGGCACTGTGACGAATTGCTTGGGATTGGCGATCACGCAAAGTGATGCCTATGACTGGGACTGCTGCTCGGATGTTTCATGAGTTCTTGAGGGTCGCCTCCTGGGCAAGGTGAACTGTGATCATGGGAACCGGTCATTGGAACCCATATCTTCCATCGCTTGGGATCTCCATGCGAAGATCTCAGCTTGTTTACCTAGGTCAACAAATGATTCCGAGCTACATTTGGGCTTGAATCTGACCGATCCAACAGTGGGGCAAAAGCTATTAAGGTATACACTTGTTTGAGCTCCCTCTGTCTGTCAGAAACTGATTCGTACACCCAGGCCTTAGTAAGGCCTCAGGTGTGGAGGAACAGCTTCAGGCGCAAGCTAAATGTTTGGATTGGGATTTGAGCTGGTTCTTGAAGCCAAAGCTGGGTGCATAGCGAGCGGCAAAACCTAAGACTACTTTGGGCGATTTCGTTCACTGTATACTAGGTCCTCCAGTAGAGAGGTTAGAATAAGGGCACCAACTTTTTTCTGTAGTCTATTTTAGCAGGGGAACCCTGCCCCCAAAAAGGGGTGAGAAAGGGCAGCTAGCTGGGGGCCTAGATATAGTTCCTGAAGGTTTCTGACACCCGTCTCTTTTGGGGTTTCACTACGTCACTGAGGACATATCTCTCCACCAAAGAGTTTCGCCTTGCTCTCATATGGGCATTTGCATTCACAAGTTCACTTTTGCCGAGTGGAAAGAGTCTGTCCAAGGTGCTGGCAGGTTTTTCGGGGGGTGGTTCTGTAAGTCCAAACAGAACAACTTGGCACTCAAGAAATGCCGGGGAAAAAAACAAGCTTATTTTATCATGGAAGTGGACAAGAGGCCTTTTCAAGAGGATAGTAGTATGATATACATATATATATAAATATATATGATTGTAAACCAAAACAAACTGAAACCACTGAAAAACACTTGCTGGAGCTCAGTAGGGAATGAGGGAATGAACCTGGGGATTCCTTTAAAGGAAACCATTGGGATGGTTTATAGGGGTCATTCCCTCATTCCCTGCTGAGCCCCAGCAAGGAAAACACTTCCTGAGTGGATGGCCCAAGCAAAGTCCGAACTTTGTGTACCCCCACAATAGTTGATCAAGTCCAACTCAGGAAGTGAGAAAACCTGGCCACTTCCTTAACTGGAAAGACAGGATTTCTGCAACGTTGCCTTTTTGGAAGCTCCAAAAGTGACGCGAGGACAATTGATATCAACCTTTTTGAGGAAATCCAGTGACCCCTTAAAAGGGGCAGCCATAAATAGCAACTGGGCAAATCCAGTGACCAAACTTCGCTTCACCGGCGGAAAAAATCGCCGGAAGCGCGGAAGTTTCGCCTTACGCGCGCCTCGAACCAGACTCGGCCTTCGGGCAGCCGCATGCCGCTGCCTGCCAAACGGACCGCGCGAAGGCGGGGAAAAAGGCGCAGGCCACCCACTCCGTGTGTATACAGACATATATATATATGTATATATATGAGGTTACCGTGTATATAATTATATATATATACAAATTATGTATGTATGTATGTATATATATATTATGTTTGTTTGGGGGGTACCATATACATATTCCCCAACAAAATCCCCAGACACATTCCCCAAGCTGTTCGGGGCGGTCTTTGGGGCAGTCGGGTCCCTGCCAAAAGCTCCGAAAGTGCGCACAGCAAACAAAGGGAGAGGGCACCGCATGCGACTTGTGTTGGGAAACCCGGCGAAAATCAATACGGACCCACAGCCCACGTCCCAAAAACTGGACACCGGAAAGGCTACATATGAAATTCAATTCGGCCCTCGAATAGGGTGGACATGAAGCCACTTGCAATGAATTGTCCTGTCCATCCCACTGTGGGTGATACAGTAGGGTACTAATCAACTACCTTCGCCGAACACTGCAGCAACAAAACAACAACACTGGTTGCTTCTTTGCTGCAGTGGGCCTCACTATGGTTCAATTGCCGAAGTCACCCTCTAAGTGGTTGGCTAAAGGGAAACAATCCCAGTTGCTTTTGTTGATAACACCCGCAAACAGTCCAAACATCTTCCCCAGTTGCCCGTGCTTATTTGGCCTCACTAATATTCTGGGTGAATCATAACATTTCACCAACCTGAAGCTTGCGGTGGTTGGGGGGCTACTCCCCACAAAAACCACCATTTTGGGGTGAGTTCGGTCGTGTGAGGTGGTTATAATTCACCCAGAATCTTGTCGCAACAAGGCTTCTCCTCGAGCCGTCGCCATGGACTCGGAGATCGCTCGATCCGCGCCTCGCTTGCGCGCTCGCTCCTCACAGAGCTGGCGACGCCTCGAGCGGACCCTCTCCCGCAGCCTGGCGAAGACGAAGGCACTGGAGGCCGAACTCCGAGTCCCCCGAAATCCGTGGAACACCGCAAGGGAAAGGAGAACCAATCTGGAAAGATGAGCCTTGACCCAAACGGCCTTCAAAGTCTCTCATAAAATGTGTGGGGCATTGCACCAACAGGGCCAACACATGTTCATTTCCATGGTCGGGCGAGGCCCTTGTTTAAAGCACCATTGTTCAAACATCCTCTTGGTTGCCCCTAAGGGGAAGGGGTGATTGTTGGCGCCACCCGAAACTTCCGGAGAAACCGCTTCCGAAGAAACCCACCGACTCCCCTCAAGCGCCCAAAGCGCCGGGGTGTGGGGCCCGCCTCTCCGCATTCTCCGCCCCAAAGATGTGGCCGTACTCGAAGAGGATCTGATGCCAGTGCCTCCAAGCGCCTCAAACCGTGGCGGAAAAAAAGTGGCGGAAAAAAAACAAAAACGGCAAGTGAGGTCTCAGAATGGGCGTGGCGTGCTCTTACCATCCCCAAAAATTTGATTTCCCTTTGAACCCCCCCCCCACCCCCGCCAAGATACAAACCTACACACCTGACACATCCGGACACTTGCAAGCGCCGGACTTGGCCCCAAAACTCCGGCCAAGAAACCTGAAAAGGGAGACGCGCCCTTTAATTAGTTAGGTCACCCTCCCACCAATTCACATGGAACCTGACAGGGGGTCCCTTTAAAGCAAAATGGTCTTCCAGGACCTCTGTGGGAGGCTACACTTCTCGAAAATCCCCCCACCTGCCTTCCAGGTTCCGCTTTGCAGACTGCGGTGCGTCCAGTGCCAGGTTGCTCCTCGAAAACGAACGACCCAGCGACGTCTATTCGCCAGATATGAGGAAGAAACATCTCTATACACACATGTGCAAATATCACTGAACACCAAAGTATACGAACATCTTCAGGGATAGTCAAACCATATGTGATTGGCGTACTGTCGTGTGTATATATATATATATGCGTATATGTATACACGGTCTTTATATATATATATATACTTTGTCCACGTATATGAGCATGCAACATGTACGTATGCATGTGTGTGTGAACTGAAAATACAAATGTGTCAAATTGCCCTGATATCTATGATCCCTCTCAATCTATTTATCTCACCAGGCACACACCAAAGATTCACGTATGTTGAATGGTTTAAAGACCAGGTGCCCTCAGTTGCCACAAGCGAGTTTCAGCTGTTCTCCGCCGAATGTGGAGTGTTGTTTCTGGTCCATATTCTGCGAAGATTGATAGTAAAGGTATCAAACGGCTGAACCAAACCCCAGGAAAGGTTCGCAAGTAACCTTCTTAGAAGGGGTTCTCAGAAGTAGGCTCTGAGAACCTTTCTAGAAGGCAGGGGGCCCTAATTTATCCTCCTTAATTTTTGGTTCATGTAAGCCAATCACAAGAGCTCCCAGTCTTCCGGCTATGATGCGCAAATAACCATGGTGCAAACGGCAAGACGCCGGCCGCATGTAACACGCGGAACGCAGAGTCCCCATGAGTTTCCAATCATCCCGGCTAAAATGCATAAAGCTAACTTCTAACCATGATGCACTCAGCAAACACGACTCCGACTTGATGAGCAGAGATCCTCTGGGTCGCGGGTCCCGGGTGCGGACGAGTTGCTCCCATGTCATCAGGTCGTCCGCCGCCGCGTGCAAGTACTCATCGAGGCCTCAAGGCCAGGAACTTTGGGGTCCTTCAGCTGCAAGGAGCTATTCACCCCGCCACGTTGGGTGGTTTGCCTGTTGGTGTCCCTTTAAAACCAGCCAAAAGGAGCCAACAAAAACCAACGTTTTAAAGAGCCGCTATTTGGGTCTCTTTTCTTGCTGGTTCGATAGGCAAGGCATAAGAAATGGAATGACTTTCTTTAAGGGAATCCTGGAAGGGCGTTCCGTCACTCCCTACTGAGCACCGGCAAGTAAATTGAATGGGTGTCTTGGAAAGGCTGAAGAGCAAGACAAAACGAAATCAACCACCAGAAGGGGCCGCGCTTGCAAAAAGCGCTACACTGACTATGACCTTATGATCATGACCAAATCTAATTTTGAAGAAGAACGGGATAGCCCTCACCTAAGTTGACATGGAACCCACCAGACAGTGAAGAGGAAAATGATTTAAAGGGGGACCTCCGGTCAGAATCCAGGCTTGTTAGGGTAAAGTTTAATCGGGACCCTTTGGTGGACATCATTTTAGTGAGGGACTATGTATTCAGGCGGTTCCAACTCTTAAAAATCATAGATAGTTATAGCAAAGCACCATGGTCTGTTCTCCTTTTCGCGGACTTCCGAGTCAGGGGCGGCCTGTTGGCGTCCTCTGCGGGAATGACTGCGGGGCTGAGCCCCGCAAATCAGTGTAGCCAACTGCTGGGCAAGAGACCTGTGCGGCAACGGATGGCCGAACTACAGGGCACCGTCCGACACGAAATCGGATGGAGACTTTGCAGGCAGCCCCGTCCATCACAGCCTCCAAGGGAAGAGCCATGACAACCACAAGTGCCAAGACTCACACGCAACAGCAAGCCGAATCAACCCCAGGGGCGCGGCTTCCTCGTTCCGCGCCAAGACGAAACTGGCTTGGTCAAACTATACAACGCACGTCTTGCGGATGGGAGCCGCCAGAGGGTGCAACCGCAGCCCTCGGTTCAAGCTCCCGGCACATACATCTCAACCTTCACTGACCAGCATGCCCAGAGCCCGGATGTAAAGAGAACAGGCTTTGCAACGCTCTGCCCAACTGCGCTTGACAAGCGGCCCGACTCACCCACCAGCCACGCTGTAGGTGCAACTCCGCTTGCCAAATAACATGGCCTCGCACACTCTACAATAGGCTCGTGCCTGCGGTACACATGCGAGGACGTTCACTTGAAGGCCAAATCCAAGACTGAGGGCCGATGATACTGCGCTCGCCCTGTCGTCCATCTTGCGGTTCTCATCTTCCAGGCGTGAGCACGACACCCTCGCACATGAAGGTCCTGCGCCGACGGCCAAGTTGACCATATCTGCTGGCACTGAGGGTCACGGATTTTTCCATGAAATGCAGAATGTCCACAAAAGGCTGCTTCCACTCAATCATGACCATGCTGGACCGCGGGCTCTTGGGTGACGGAATGTATTGGCAAGGAGCAAGCTTTTGTTCTGCCAGGGCATTCTCCTCCAGCTTTTGCGCCACTTGTGGCTGCCCGTGGTTGACTGCGCGCAAGCGGGCTGCCAGCACAGCCCAGCTCCTCTCTGCGTAGCACGATCCTAGCGCCTCCCAGTTCAGCTCTTTGACTTCCACCACAAAGTCTTTCTTGTACTGGCCGATGCAAGGCCAAAGCGACAATGCAAATGTCAGAGTGTGAAGCAGCAATCTCCTACACCTGGCTCAAACCGCTCCCGTCTATTGCGCCGGCGAAGATTGCTCTTCCACTGCGCAACTTGAGGCTTGAGGACAGCGAGCAGTCCTTGCCGTTGATGGTGCACGGGAGGGAGGCGAACTGGCCGCGGTACTGGATTCGGCCCGCCTATTTGGCCTCTTCCTCTGTGTCCACAAGGTGGTGCACAATCTTCTCGCTGGGGCTCATGAAGCTCAGCCACATTAATCGTTTGGCCGTCCCACACAATCTCAGCCATTCCAGGCGCGTGGTGACTGGAGCAGGCGCAGAGTTGGAGCAGCACTCAGCGGACAACTCTCCACAAAATGCTGCATTGTCGCACCAGTCTGGAAATCAAGAATTTTCCGTAAGCAGGCATAGAGGACATGGGCGTGCGCAAGACAGATGAAAGATGCAAACAATAAGATTGGCGCGCCAACCCGCTGAAGACAAATGTTCCCAATCGCGCTTCCCGCCATTGCCTACACATGCGCTGCTAAAAGTGTAAGCCCTTCGCAAAAAGCAATGCGAAAGCGTGGCAGTCCGGGCAGGCTACCCAAGCTGTTGAGCGGAGCAAGGGCACAGCAGTTGCCCGATTCTTTACTCCTTGCAACAAACGCCGCGCTTCGCAAGCAACGCAACGCGGGCAAGGCTGACAAAATTTGCTGATCTTCGCGCAGGCGCCTTGCGCTTTCTACATGCTGGTGCAACCCTTGCACAAGAGATACTACGGGATCTGTGGCACATGCAAGGAAGCGCTGCCAACTTAGGCGCAGCTTTTGTCTGGTCTGCGGCAACGATCTTGCTACACAAAACTCTGCCAAAATCAGATGGCGCGTGGACAGCTGCAGCTTCAAATTCTCCTCACTGCGGCGTTCCTGGTGCAAGGTTGGAAAAAGCCACCGATGGGGCAAGTGCTTTGCAAAGGGTACTCAGGCTCATAACGTTGCCGGCCATCTCAAACACTTCACTGGGGCAAAGCCTATGCAAAGACACGGCCCGCCCCCATCCAAGAATAGCCAGGTGCTGCTCCGCGGGCAATATCATTGACGTCTCGTAGCAAAACAGACGTGTGGATGTCGTCAAGGTGCCAACAACACCGCAAGTCACAACCTGCCCTCTGCCTGCATTTTGGCTGATGTCTGCCATCTTGCTTGCGCAGGACATTTGCACGGAACAGTGGTCAAGGATGACGTCATAGACGTCCACATTGGCCGCCTGCCAAGCGCTTGCTCCTTTGAGCTGCCTGCTGGCGCGTTTGTCCAAAGCCTTCTGCTTGAGCGTCTTTGGGTCGATTCGGCCAGCAGCAATAGCCTTGCGCACGGCCGCAGCGTAGCACCTGTGACATTCTTGGCCTGGTCGTCATCTTCCTTTGCCGGCGCCATGCTGCTGAGCTTTGTCAAGTGCTTCACATGATGCCTTGGCATCGCGTCTGCCATGCTTTCAAGATGCAAGGCAGCATCAGCCCAGACTTTGGCTGAGAAAACTCTGGCACCGGGCTTGCTGTCAGGCTCACAACCTCCATTGAGAAACCCGGTAGCTGGCTTCTCAATTCTGACATGTAGTGCTCCACGGGTGTCTTGGCGCGCTCCTTCTGGCTCATCTTGTTAGCACCGCTCTCCCTGTTCTTCACCGATTCATCTCCGCCTCCCTGTTTGTCGAGCACGCCACAACAGCGCGCCAAACATGCAAAACATGTTTCACTTGACTCCCTTACGCTTTTGTCGCGCCTGCATCCCTCTACATTCTCTAGGATAAAGTGCGTAGGCTGAGACTCCTAGATGGCCGCCATTGCCAAGTAGAAGCCCTTCAAGCTGCTGTCTTTGGGGTCAAGGGCATCGCTCGTGAACCGATCTGCTCGCTGCAAGGAGTTGGACTTGCAGCTGAAGCCACCAATCCAGAGCTGAGGCTTCTCCTTGGGCAGCATCTCCTCTCATGTTTCACGCACAAGCGTCGTGTTTCGCATCTGCGAACGGGTGCGCAGGAGCTGCATTGGTCAAGGAGAAAATGACTGGAGCAGGCGCAAACGTTGCGCACTTTCATGTGCTGCAGAAGGTAAGCTGCCGTGCTGAAACCGTCGAAGGCCGACCCCCATGCCAAAGACTGTGCGCTAGCGTGCGAAGAGACTCCTCTCTCTGCCATGAACTTTTTGGAGGTAGCAACCATTTTCGCTGCGAAGTCGGCCAGGACAAATGGCTCATTGGTTGTCGTCGGAAGTTCGGAAGTGTCCTTCTTCACTGGCTTCTTCGCGTGGACCTTGCCTGCAGGTTTCTTCTGCGCGCTGGCCTTGCCCATTGAAGCGGTCCTCTTAGCCCACCTAGCTATGGGAAAACACTGCTGCGATTTCACATGGCCATGTTGCAATAGCATGTGCAAGTCAAGACCTCCGCAAATGGCACAGGGCTAATTGCCAAGCCATGCAAACGGCACCTTTCCACCAAAGTTGCACTGCGCAATCGCTCATGATTTGTTGCGTCACACAAGAAATTCTGCACATGCTTGCGTGACGAGTTCAAAAACTTTAGCCGATCAATCGGAGACCCCGGACCCGCTGGTCCGGGCAAACTTGGCAGCGCCTTCTGGCTTATCCACTGGCTCAGCTGCGCCGCAGCCCTCACAAGCTGCCTGCAAAACAGCGAGCGTTTCCTGGCACTCGGCCCCTCCTCTGCTCAGCCACCTCATGAGCAGCACCGTAACCATCTCCATGACATAGCTGTACCCATGCCAACCGCTTGAGATTGGCCAGCGCAGCCCGAGCAGGGCTGGTCAAAACTCCTTACCCTTGGTCGTCGGTCGCTGTCACGCGGGTTGAAGAAAGGCACTTTGGCCCAAATGGATCGATTCAAGATGAGGTGAGACAACTGCCCCGACACCTTAGCAAGAAGAATATGTAGCTTTTCCAGAATGACGTCACATTGAAGTACGGCATCCACAATACATTGAACCTGAAGATCCTTCGAAGCAAAAGCACTGCACTTGGCATGTTGAAGAGGCAGAAAAAGATGTTGTCTCCTGCCACAGCCCAACCCGCAGAGGGAACAGACAGGCACGTCAAGATGCCAAAGTGGCCGCCAGGCGTGTAGTTTTGCTATGGTCTCTCTGCGATTTATCCAGGACTGTCTAATGAAGTTCCATCTCGTGATGGCACCACGAAATTGCACTGCAGAGACGCGAAGGGCGCGCCGGATTGTAATACTGTCCAGAAGTGCCCAAAACTCAAGCGGGACCGACTCAAAAGGCTTACACTTAAGGAAGCTGCGAACGTCATCACAGACCGTAGGGCTGTGAGGATCAAGAACAATATCACTGTGAGGAGCAAAGCAAAAGGGGCGCCTTCGGGCAAGAACCGCGGGCGCAGTAGTCTTGCAACGCAGCCTATGCTGAAGCGTGAAAGTGCTGAAGAAGGGGAGATTGCGCCAATTAGCAATACCCTGCACCACATCTTCAAAAGTGACATATATTTTGCTAGGATGCTTGCCACTGGCAATGCACTCGTCATTAATATTGCAAAGATACCTGAAAGAGGCTGATAAAACATCGTTCTGCGCCAGCCTCCGGCCTTTTCGCATGCTTCCAACGGCAGGAAAACCATTGATAACTTTGACAAGCGTGGGTTCTCCATGCAAAAGTTCTTTGTCAAAGTCCTGAAAGTGCAACAAAGCAAGTTTTTTCCCAGAGCACTCGGAACTTCCAAGTAACCTCCTTAAAAGTATTTTTGAGGGCTCTGGCATTGTCCATGAAGGGAGTGTCCGTGCCACAAATGAGAATACAAAAGAGGAGAAGTTCCACCCAAGTGGGTTCGCGACCATCAAACTGAGTTCCGGGTTCATAGCGAGTCCAACTCATGCACACGGCAATAAATTGGAAATCACGCAGCTTGCCTCCCCAAGAGATCCATTGAGTGGATTTGGTAAAAGGGGGGTGCTTAGGATCAAGGTGCATAGCAGCGCTGGACCGCGGAACCATACATGAAGCCGAGGTTGAAAGAGAAATTCAAACAAACTTCAGAAGTGGAAGGGCCAGGTCGCAGTTCGTTCCTTTCGTGTATGGCCTGTTGCGCTCCTCCCACTCCTGAACGAGGGCACATACGTCTGGATCTGAGTCCATTGCCCTCGAAGTTCACAAACGGCACGAGAGCAATCAACCAGACAAATGTCTCATAAACGGTGGCCAAGTGTTCGAGCGCCAAGGGGTAGTCCATGCCTGTCTGATATGGTCCCAACAAGGGCATTCCCAGATAACATGTTGAGCGTCATGTTCATGTTCACAGTTCGGACAGTGCGAATTGGTGGTGAAAGCCTTGTGGAACCTAGCCAAAGGAGTGTTAAGACTATTGCAAAGGATACGCCTGAGGGTCGTAGCGATGATGGAGGAAGGATTGGCGGTCCTCAAAAGTGCCTCCCTTACTGGGAATAATTGTAATGGTTCTTGAGAATCCCTATTACCAGGTGGATGACCATTCCTGTGAACCCCAAGTATAGGGGTCTTTCGACCTTGGCACATCAGTCTGGGCAAATTCATCTAATTCACAAACCTAGAGTAAGGAATCCCTGACAAGTGTTATAAGCACGCCTTCATCCTGAGTGAGGTCTCTAAACCACCTGGTCAGTATTGGGCATGATGAGCATAAGTGCGCCTCATGGTTGCATCTCTAATTGACGGCGGTGGGTGTTGCGCAAAGCAACTGGAACCCGACAAACATGGGTGAGTTCCTCCTTGTTTGCCTTGAACAAGAATCCAAAAAGGATCTCCCTAATCTTGCCGGACACCCATGTCAAAGATAACTTCCAAATGGCTGGTCTTCTGTCCTGCGTTCATGCATATTCCTGGCGATCTCGGGTGCAGGTTTACTTCATGAACCTGTTCATGAGCTCACAAATAGGTGTAGAAGGACAGTTCCCTTGTTGCGCCAACTGATGTTGGATTTTTTTGGTAACTGTCCGAACCAAACTTTGGTAACCGAAACTTTTGGCCTGGGGAGTAGCCCTAAGACCTGCCAGAAAGCCCTCAAGCAGATTGGCAAGGCCGCCATTGTGTTGCAAGGTAGCTGGTGGCCGATCTCGGTGCGTGGTGCTTCAACCTCCTAGAAAGCTAGCTAGAACTGAAAACGAAAGGCACCCCCTTAGTCTGTTTCTACCAAAATGGGGTGGGAAGCAACATACCCTGTTGCTTTCAATTGGAGAACAGAATGGGGGAGAACGACACCACGGGCTGTTCCGCACCCTGCTTTAATCTCTGAGATGCCCTCGTTCAGGTTCCTTCTGCTTGTTGAAAAGTTAGCTCTACCACCTTCCAACCGGCAACCGGCTATTTTTCACGGCTCTCACCATACCGCCCGGCTGTGGCGGAGAAAAAAAAGGGGCAACAGTTTAACCCCCCACCATGACTAAACTGACCAAATGGGGAGTTAAAGTCGCAGAAACACGTCCATTTGATCATTTTGGCCCGGTTGCGGAGAACAGTTTCCGCTCACCTTCTGGCTCCCTGCAGCCAAAGCAACATGTCATTACCCCCCTTGAAGCCAAGCCCACCGCGTGCGGGACCCCGCCCTTCGGCGAGCCGAGCGCGCCGAGCGCGCGGCTGCCGCAGACGTGGCCGTCGCGCTGGCGCACGCGGCTCAAGGTGCCAAGCTCCGCCTGCCTCGCTCACCCGCAACCCGACCCCCTGAAGATCCCAAAGCCTGGAGTGAGTGAGGCGTCGTTTTTTGGCGTCTCTTTTTTTGGTGGCGTGGTGCCCTTGAGTTGGCGTCTTCCTTTTTGGTTGCCCTTGTTTGGTGGGTTTACGTGGAAACCAAAGGGAATATATAACAGAATTTGTTTGGGGGGGAAGGGGGACTAAAAACACGACAAACCCGAGTGACACTCAGTTGGCATAACCAATTGGTACAGCTAGCGCACACGAGATGTCCCAGGAAATTGGGTCGGCAAGAACTTTTGAAGGCTATGTGCTAACTCATTGTTGCTGACAGGGCTCTGGCACAATCACAGCAAATGAAGTTGATACTTGGTCGTTGTACTGTTACTTTCTACGAGTACAGGTGGGTTCCCCACGGTTTTCGAACTTTGGCTTAAAAGAAGCCGTTTCCTGTTCCTCCGCATGTAAGCTGACTTTCGATCCAAGGAATCATACAGGTGAACCGCTGCCTTTGACACATACATGTGGAGATATGTGGAGCATTTTCCTTGGCCTACAACAAGTAAAAACTGTGTGCCGGTTAAAAGGATCAAGAAACCCAACAAGGCAAAAGGGCAGAAAGGATAAACACAAAACATGGCACTCATTTGAGGTTGGCAAAATCTAGACCCGCAATGCCGCAATGCAGCCACGCAACCAAGCAGCCAAGCGAGCAAGCAAAAGCAAGCCAGTCAGTCAACCAACCGATCAACCGACCAATCAACCACCTCCCATGTCAGCCACCTACAACTGCCAATAGCTGCTAAACTCGCCGAGGCTGGTTCCCTTGGTAAAAACAAGGACCCAAGAGACGAGAGACCAAAGGTGCTCCAAGGACCCGAACACCTACCGGTGTCCTTATCGGTTGTCATTTATCCTCTTTCCTTCGCCCTTGACAGTTGGGGGGTGGGCTGGGAACAGCCCTTCTATGCACAAAAGTTGGTTTTGGAAAAACATGTCCACAAACAATTGTCTCTTGCAAAGAATGGAGCACAAAGGGTTTTTGCACAATTACTTTCCCACAAAGGGGAATCCCAAATGCCAAAGAAGAACCCACTTCCATGATGGGAAAAAAGGTCGTAGGAGTCTCCCTGACCCTTCAAACAGGGCGACCCCTTTGAGTATATGAATACCCGACCCCATACCGCATGTAAGGATCATGGAGACTCCGTGCAAACGTCTACTCCCTGGTTCGCACAAACTCGGCATTGACTAGCTCCTCCAGATCTGAGAGGTTCGAATCAGGCTACCGAATCAGGCTACCCACAAATTCTCTGCAATTAGTCTATTTTAGTCGGGGAAGCCCCTCCCAACCAAAAAAGGAACGGCTTTTTTCCGTAATTAGTCTATTTTAGTAGGGGAAGCCCCTCCCAACCAAAAAGGGAACGGGTGACCAAATAAACGGGGCGAGAACGAGGCCGCCCTTTCGCTGGGGGACCGAGTCGACCTCCGAGGACTTCCGCCTGCTGGAGGGCAGCGTGGACGCTTCAGCCGCCTCCGCCACCCGCGACCACTGCCTGCCGAGGCCATCGTCGATTTTGGTCGCTTGGGAGTCTCACTGAGGTTTTTCCTGGTGATGCCCCTTTAAAACCAGCACAAAAATGGATACCCTTCAAAAAAGAACACATACCAGCCCTCTGAAAGGCTGTGAGTTCATAGGGAACCCTTCTACATGGGACATCCCACCAGGTCCCCCCATTGAAACTCAGACCTATAGGATTTTATTCCCGCCAAAGTCTGTGGGTACAGTATGGTCCCAACCCGACGCCCCGGCCTGTGCACAAGGCGCCTTCCGAAGAAAAGTTATTGGCCTTTCTCGCCGACTCTCGCAGAGAAGAACCGGAGCCCTTCATTTTGCTTGAGCCCCCAAGGACACATTCCTTTGACTACTTCTGGGTTTGGTTTCCCCTGCTCCCCTCCGGGTTAGTCCTTGCTTTTCAGGACTACCCAAAGTTGCAAAACATGTTGTTCCTGTGGTTTCTGATTGAAACAGACCAAAAAAGGAGCCCCCCCTCTGAAGATACCACTGCCTTTCTTCTTGCCTCGCCTGACGGCAGCAGCCAGGGCTGCAGCCTTGAGGCGGCCAGGCATCGACCGGCTCTCCTGGGAATTGGAGCTCTCCAGTAGGGTCCCCCCTAAGACGCTGATTTATTCTAAGGAAGTTCCTACATGATTGGAGTTGGGCCCAGTTATAGAATGCATAATTTATTGTTTGCTTCACATGGAGTCACTGGTAAACTGTAAAATGTATCCTAAGTCTACCCCAGCCTATTGCACCCTGCATTTTCTAGGGAAATTGCTTTATGGCCTTTGGAGGGGAGGAAAGGCAACGATTGGTTCTGCGGAGTTGTCTACTGTGGGATTTCTAGGGAAACTACCCATTTTCAGGCTTCTGGACATGGGCAAAAATAGGGTGATTCCTCAGACCTCAGAGGGTGTAATCCCAGGGTCTAATCGGAAAACCCTCAGATTCATGACCTTTTGAAAGACATAGATTTGGAGGAAACCAGCGGGATTATTTGTGGTATGCTAAGTCGGGCACTACTCTTCTGGGGGGCTATGGGACGGGGTGCTATCACCTATGAAACCCTTCGTTAAGTTGCCTTATAGCCTTATTCATCCTAGGCTTACTCAGGCGATAGGCCCCATACAGCCTTGTTAGGGGGCTGAAACTGAAAACAAAACTGGGAACCAAACTGGGACGCCTCTTATCATCCAGTGTCCGGAACATGGTCAAGAAGGTTGATTGCCCATTGACCAAACGGAGAAGGGTGTACCCCTTCTAGAGACACAGATCTAAGCCTCAAGCCGCTGGCTTTTCCCTGGAGATTTTGCGCGAAAAGAATCGATTCCAGTCCTCTGCATGGGACACCACCGCCAGCAGGCTGGCGCTATCCATGTCCTGCAATCTATGCCCAAAGAAATTGGGACAGCTTTCCCATATATATATATACACTATATATATATATGTATAAGGTATATAAATATATATATAACATATATATATATATTTATATGTTTAGACAATATATATATATATATACACACATACGTGTATATACAATATGTATATATATATATATATCTATGTATATGGTCACCCCTCCTCCCCCCCCAGGGCCCACCTTTCTACTTTTTGCACCAAACAAATATTTGCAGATGTTCAGTGTCTGCCTTGCAGAACACCCTGTAATTTACACTGTTTGTGTGAGACTGTTTATATTGTGCCACATATTCTTTGTGTGCCTTGATGTAAACAAGACTCAAGAAAGCAAAATGCACGAAAACGGAAAGCATTTTTAGATGCAACTTTGTCAGTGTTGCAAACATTGCTATTTGCAGTATGTTTTCAAGAAACTGCAACAATACACATTTGTTTGCGTTTTGTGATGGTTGCATCCTCAAAACATGCACAGGCTCAAAAAGTGCGAACAAACAATAACTGAAAGCTCCAAAACCTGCACAGGCTGATGCAAACATGCAAAACCCAGATGCACTGTCAGAGGACAGGGCTTGATTGGTCTAGATGTTTGTATGTTTTGCATTATCAGAGTTTCTAGCTTTGGATTTGTTTGCATTTTGTTTGAGCCTGTGCAGGCTTTGGAGCTTTGGGATCTTGAAACATGCACAGGCTCAAACAATGCAAACAAATCCAAACCTCAAAGCTCCAAAATCTGCACAGGCTCAAACAAATGCAACAAACGCCGCAGTGTCAGAGGTCACGGATTGATTGGTCTAAATGCTAGTACTTGTTTGTTTTGTTGAGCCTGTGCAGGTTTCAAATCGTTTAGCTTTGGATTGCTTGCATTCTTTTGAGTCTGTGCAGGTTTTGGAGCTTTGGGTTCTTAAAGCATGCACCGAATCAAACAATGCAAAACAGATCCAAAGTCTTTACTTGTTTCTGAAGACTGCGAGACGGATTGCCGAGCATTTTCTCTGACATCACAGCTTCTCAAAAAAAAACAACTTGAATGACCTTGTTTGAGCTTCTTGCAGCAGAGTAATCTGTAAAAGGAACTGGGCATGAAATATAGATCAAAAACATCAAAACGACCGAAACATGTAAATATAATATGCATGCGTTCACCCCCTTCTTTGGACATGATCAGTGTTTACAGACTGTACAAGTGAAAAGGTGGGCCCTGGGAGGGGGGGAGGGTGAGCGTATGTTTTCTTACATATATATATATATATGCTCACCCCCCCCCCCCAGGGCCTACCTTTCCACTTCAAAATGTACAAAACCCTCTTATTTTTAAAGACAGGGGGTGTGAGCATATATACGCAAGAAGTGTGCTGTTGCTGCATATTTGTTTGTGGGTGACAAGTCATGTTGAGTATCAACAGCAAAGAGTTTATAAACTTTCAAGACAGTTTATAAACCATGTCAAGGGTTTGACGGTTTCCCTGCAACAAGGGCAGGGGGGGTCAGAACTCTTTACGGGGGGGGGGGGGGGGGGGGGGGGAGGGGGGGGGGGGGGGTACTGAGAAGTCTTTACAAAGTTGGCTGAGTCACCTCACTGCTAAGACTTCCAGCCACCCCCCCCCCCCCCCCCTCCCCCCTCACTCCAGCCCCCCCCCCCCCCCCCCCCCCCCTCCCCCCCAAGACTTCCAACCAACCCCCCCCCCCCATCCTTCAACGATACCATGAACCTTGACGCGGGAAACTCGTCAAACACTCAATAAGGTTTATAAACTTTCCTGAAAGTTTATAAACCTTCTGTAGGCTTATTGCGCAGCAAGTGGAGACTGTTGTTTGGGAAAAAAAGGACACTCATTTGAGGCCTTGTTTGATGTGGTTTGGGCATGTGGTCCTAAAAGGTTGATGATTGTGTGTGTGTCATCACTGCTGCACTGTTATATCAAAGGCTGTCCATTCGGTCCAAGGGAACACAATCTGAGCAACTGCTGCAAAACACTCTGTTTTACAGCATTTTGTTGGATCTCTAATCCCTTCAAATGTCCAATTTGAAACACCTGAAACCTAGAATCTGGAGATCAGAATCCTTGAGATGTCTAATGTTGGATTCTCCAAGCCTCATAATTTGGAGCCTGGAGTACTCCAACACGAATTGAATTGGAATGTTGAAGGGGGCAAAATGTTTTTTGGGAAACGAACAATCTTCGGCCCAAGGGAACACAATCTGGGCAATTTCTTCGAAACACTTTGTTTTACAGTTTTTTGTTGGACCTGCAATCCCTTGAAATGTCCATGGTGAAGCACCTGAAACCTAGAATCTGGAGATCAGAATCCTCGAGATGTCTAATGTTGGATTCTCCAAGCCTCATATTTGGAGCCTGGAGTACTCCAACACGAATTGAATTGGAATGTTGAAGGGGGCAAAATGTTTTTTGGGAAACGAACAATCTTCGGCCCAAGGGAACACAATCTGGGCAATTTCTTCGAAACACTTTGTTTTACAGTTTTTTGTTGGACCTGCAATCCCTTGAAATGTCCATGGTGAAGCACCTGAAACCTAGAATCTGGAGATCAGAATCCTCGAGATGTCTAATGTTGGATTCTCCAAGCCTCATATTTTGGAGCCTGGAGTCCAACATATCCAAGTACACATTCCTTTCCAAATACGATTTTTGATCCGAATTGAATTTGCATATTGAATAGAATTTAGTAAGCACATAGTTCACCACCATTCATATTCACCATAATGTCTATATTAGATCAGAATTTGAACAGGAATACCTTTCCAAATAAGGAAAATATCATTGCAGTAGAATCCAAATATACTTTAATGCAGACAGAGTTCAATTAGCTTTTGAACATAATAATTTGATTAAGAATCCATCCCCAAATACAACTTGAATTGGAATATAGCTTATTCTGGAAAGAAATCACTTGGCCTTTGCAAACAAATTTTAATAGTAACTCATTCCCAAATATGATTTAGCTTAAATGTGGCTAAACAAATAAAGGGCACATATCCCCAGACTCCCAAACTTGGTCTGGAGATGTGTTTGGCATGTGCAGGTCTCAGAGCTTTCATTTTCAGGAGATTTTGTGCTTTTGGGTCTGTGCAGGTTGCAGAGCTCAAAGCTGCCAAAAACATCATTTTTTCAATGTTTTTCCCTGGTGTACTCAAAACCACTGTAAAAACCAGTGATTCAATCAAAGCCAGGCTCGAATCTGAAAACGGAATCCGTTTTCGCTTTGCTGCCTTTCAAGCCTCAAAGAATCAGACATCTGCTGTCATATAGAAGGTAAAAAAACAACAAAACACTGTATTTTACAGTGTTTCAGGCATCTGCAAGAAAGAGGCACACAGAGTAGAGTTGACACCTTCAACTAGAAGAGGGCAAAGGTAGGCCCTGGGGGGGGGGGTGACCATATATATATATACATATGTATATAGTATATACATATATACATATGTATAATAAGAAACCAGCTACAGGAAATACTACCGGGAATTAACCGAACACGCGGTTTGGCCAACTTGTAATTCTACTCTAGAAATGTCATTTCCTGTTGCTGGCTGCGCTACAAATACCTAGAACATCCGGCAGCTTTTTTTTGGGCCGATTTGCATTTCAGAGGGAATATCCGCCGACATCGAAAAAAAAGCCGACCGCCAAGGAAAACGCCGACCAACAAAACAGCTTGCACAAAACGCCGACATGTTTCAAACAGCGCTGACCAACTCAAAGGAAACCTCCCGGAGTAGCCGACTAAAGGTTCTTCAATCCTGTCAAGCATGAAACAAATCTAACTCTTGCAGAGGACCCCTGCGCACCATTTCCGCGCACTTGTTGTTTTCACACCCACTTGTTCTGCTGTCGCCGCTGTGCTAGATGCCGTCTCAAAACGGCCCGCGTCTTCAGAAATACGCGCTCCATCACCCGTCGCCCGCTAGAGCGTACAGACACGCGCCTGCTAAGGCGACTTGCCCTTCCCACAAGATCTTCGCACGAGTCGCAAGAAAAAACGACTGGCGACAGCACGCGCGGGCTAGCAGTTTGCAGGGCCATCCGGATGTTGTGCGCGATGTGATGCAGAGCGTGGTACTTGGGCTTGTAAGCAAAGCCCGTAACTTGCAGGTTAAGACACTCCTCCGCTAGGTGGGCGTAGCCGCGAAGCACCGCCATTATTTGCACATAAAGAGCTGCAGCACATGCACGCCGTAGCCAAACACCGTGCTTGTAAGGAAGCGAGGTCATCGAAATGGCTGTTTTGACAGTGGCGTGCGCCGTTTGTAGAAACCCCATCAAGCCATGAGCAGCAGGAGGTGGATGCCGCAGCGAAATCGCCAAGAACCAAGATAACCACTGTAGCAACAGCACTGTGTCGCTTGCTTTGCAATTTGCCCATGCGTACGCCGCCGACGTCTTGTAGTTCATGAAGTGCACTGAAAAGCTTCGAAGGGCTGCGCTGCGCTGTGTTGTATGGCAATACAATGCAAATGATCCGTGCGCCCGGCTCAAACGGTCATGTATGTTTTGCGAGTCGCCTGCGCTGTCCCAAAAGCCAAATCTGCAGAGGCACACTATCAAACTGCCAACCAAATCCCGTCCAATGCCCAACTTGAAGACGTGGAAGAGGTCAAAGACGTAGAGCATCTCAGGTTTGATTGCGTCAAACGGTACTTTGCCAAAAGGCGGCAAGGTCAGCCACGGGCGGGCGACGTACAGCGTGCTCGCCCAATTTGGGTCATCAAGAGGGTTGTCGAAGTTGTAGCCCGGGGCGCCAGCGTAGCAATGCTGACAAATCATCAGCTCGTTCTTGGTTCCCAAATTTGCGTAGGAACGCGTAAGCTCCGCAAAGAACTCACGTTGCTGCTTCAAATCCCCTTTGCACCCGATAAGCGCAATGAAAAGGTAGGAATGCCCTCGTAGATTGGAAGTTGCAAGTGAAGCAACGCTGGCGTCAGTTATTTCCTGAATCGGCCC